GTGCTGGGAACCAAACCCAGGTCCTCTGCAAAAACCACTGAGCCATTTCTCTAGCCCCCTGATTTATCTTTTTAAAGAAGTCACTCTGGTTACTGCTTAGAAAAGAAATCACAAAGGAGTAAATATGGAAACAGACCGTTTACATGGTTGCTTGATTTGTATTTGTCATTAAACAAGTGCTTGCTTATCAATCTATCCACCACTCTAAATTTACTGCTACAATAAGCAAGTTACTTGCTCCAAATGCTCTATTTAGCCATGTCAGGTATGTAACTGTCAAATTTGCCGGAGATAAAAATATTCTGGAAAACCCTACCTTTCAGGGCACAAAATCAGCCACATGGCTCAGATCCTGGTTCAAGTTCCCACTGCTGAACTAGAACATTAAAAAATGCTGACACTAGACATGGTACCAGAAAGCACAGAAGCTGAAGCTAAATATGGTGGCACATAGTTGTAATCCCAGGACTCTTTTTTTTTTTTTGGTCTTTTTGAAACAGGGTCTCCCTGTGGCCCCAGCTGTCCTGGAACTCACTATGTAGACCAGGCTGGCCTTGAACTCACAGAGATCTGCCTGCCTCTGCCTCCCAAGTGCTGGGATTAAAAGCGTGCACCCCCACACCTGGCCTTTTTAAAAAATTTTTTTTACTTATTTTTTTTCTCTTTTGAGACAAGGTCTCTCTGTAGTCTTAGCTGGCCTGGAACTCACTATGTAGACCAGGCTGGCCTTGAACTCACAGAGATCTGCCTGCCTCTGCCTGCCTCTGCCTGCCAAGAGCTGGGATTAAAGGTGTGCACCACCACACCCAGCAATCCCCGCACTCTTGAGAAGTAGAGGCAGGAGAATTAGGAGTTCAAACTCATCCTTAGCTGTACAGTGAATTCAAGGCCAATGGAGGATGCATGAGTATCTGTCCCAACAAACAAAAACAAAAAGAGGAATAGGGGGTGGGGCAGTAGAAGGAAAGCAAGCACAGAAATGCTACTGCTTGAAGAGTCCACCGTTTCTAATCTCTAGTAGTTGTTCCCTGACCTAGATAAAAGGACAGCCATTGCTAAATGTTACCTGACCCTTTTCCATACATCCTATGGCTTCCTTTCTGACCCTGGGCCTTTATACATATTGTTCCTTCAGCCTGAGAAAACCATCCCCAGCTACTCTTAGCCTAATGACACTTTCTTTTCCTTTTTCTTTTTGGTGCTGTGGATCTAACCCAGTGCTTCATGTATGCTAGGCAAGCACTCTAGCCCTGAGCTATTGTACTTAGCCTGTCTGATGACACTTTAAATGTCAGAACTTCTAATAGGCCTTCCTCAAATTTCTAAACCTAAATTAAGTCTCTCCATTCATAGATCCCTGTGCATTCCTCAAACCTCTCTATTATTTGTAACTTTAAATTCATTTATGGGATCATTCTTTTATTGCCCTTCCAAATTTGCAGCCCCCTTGCAACCATTACAAGTTCCAGGAACCCCAATATATCTGTTTACTACTGTCTCCACAGTGCCTGGCATAAAACACCCTTAATGAATACTGGAAATAGGCCTTCTTAAGGAAGATAATTGTGGGAACAACATATATTTTTTAAATTTTTTAATATTTTATTTATTATTTTTATTCTGTGTGTACGTGTGTATTGCCTGCATATACGTAAGTGCACCTGTGTCATGCAATGTCCACGGAGAACAGAAGAGGCTGTCAGACCCTGGAACTATTATTTTTATTCTGTGTGTACGTGTGTATTGCCTGCATATACGTAAGTGCACCTGTGTCATGCAATGTCCACGGAGAACAGAAGAGGCTGTCAGATTCCCTGGAACTGGAGTTACGGACAGTTGTTAGCTGCCATGTGGGTGCTGGGATTTGAACCCGGGTCTTCTGCAAGAACAGTTAGTATTCTTAACTGCTGAGCCATCTCTCCAGCCCCAAAGGGCAACATCTTATAGTGCCTTTACCTGTAGCCTTCTTGTTTCCCCTTGCCACTATTTTTTCTTTTATTTTTCTATTTTTTTGAGACAGGATCTTCCACCATAATCCAGGGTGGCCTAGGAACTCACTAGGTAAATTAAAATCAGCTTTGAATTACTGCAATCCTCTTGCTTCAGTTTCCCAAGTGCTGAGATCACAGGTGTAATCACACCCAGCTCCCTTGTAAAACTTTTTAAGAACTCTTGCCCTCCATTTGCATTGCTTTCAACAAGAAAGTGAGTCTGCAGAGATTGAGGATTCATCATTTGCAAACTTGTGCTCTCAATCTTTTAAAGCAATTTCTCAAGCTCAGCACTATTTACTGGTTGGACGGGGCAATTCTTTCTTGTTGGGAGATGCCTTGTTCATTATAGGACAATCAACATCAAACTTGGTCTCTACCCACTAGATGCCAATAGCAACCCCTCTCTAGATATTGCCCCATGCCTACGAACTCACTACTGGCTGACTGAAAATGTGAAGCTTCAGACCTTTTCCCTTTTAGAAGAATTATACTTAGAAATTGGGTTGTTGAATGATGCCTGGGTAAGAGAATTCTACCAGCCCAGTTGGATCAAAACTGTGCCCACTTTTATCTTGTTTCTGAGCACTCCCTGTGTTTCCTTTGAAAAGGCTATTAGTGATGGTCTGATGCAAGGCAATATTGTGATCTTGGAAATTCAGTTCCCTGAACTGTCCTACAAGGATGAAGGAAAGGGGGGTGGTGTTTCTGAGGAAACCAGTGCCTCTGAGACCCCTGGGGAATTGGCAGTCCCCTACAACTTTTCTAGGGGCTGTCCCACAGGATAATAAAAGGGAGACAAACAGCCCATTCTGGCATGCTTTTCAGGATCTCTCACTCCAAACAAGAGAGTCTGAGAGGCCTGGTAAAAATAAATATGGCTTAGTCCTCCTGGCATAAGAAGAGTTTCTGACCGCCAAGACTTAACTCACCCTAGGGGGTGACCCAGCCTGGGACTCTGCACGAAGTTAGTTTCTACCCTTTGATAGCCCCAGTGACTCACAGCAGCCAGGGATGGCTCTGCACACCAAAACTGTGCTGGTCCACAGTGGCGAAGGACTTGGGATACACATTGAAAATGCAGTCTCTCTCGCTGAGTCAGACAGGGACAGCCAACTTCCCTCTTCCTCGCCAATCCCAGAAAAACAACACAAATCATTGCTTTGGAAAGGAACCTGTCCTTTGCATACAGAGTGGAAACTGTTCTAAATTCTTAATCCCCTGACATTGAAAGTATGGGGACCACCAGTCCTGGATTTTTTTTTTTTTGACAAACATTCATCACACCACATGTCCCTAGTTTTCGCTGGGAACAAAATATCCAGAGTCACAAGGTCTTTCTCAACGGGTTTGAAAACCGAGTCTTCATAAGCAACATGTATTGAAATCCTGAGACTAACCAAGAGCTCATTACAAAGGGGAAGGAAGCTGAGGAATCAGTCTTCATTTTTCGCTTCCTTTTCCTTGGACTTCAGGCTAAGGTGGCTACAGGATTGTCTTTCCTAAATTCTGAAATCATGCAACCCCACGTCTGACTCTACTGCCGCCTTCAGTCTCCAAGAAGAATTACACACCTAGAAAATACCTTGGTATTAGTTACTATGGTGATGCTTGTTCAACCACATTGCATCTGGGCAAAAATTTCAGACAAAACAAAACAAACAAAACAAAACAAAACTCCCCAAGCAGCATAAAGTTACTAAGAAGAGTTAACATCACGTTTCCTGTTATTTTAGCTTTCACAAAGTATAGTTAATGTTAGCTTTAGTCAAAGACGGCAATTTAAAGCAAAAGCCTTGAAAAATGGAAAACAAGCAAGGATGAAATGTCAGCTTATCCATTTGGAGAAATCACCTGATATCCAGTTTGCACTATACCAAATTACTTTCCCCTCAGCTAACTCCAGGCATTTGGGTCTTTCTGGCTCTGTTTACTGGTGAGAAGAAAAAGAGTTACTGAAATCCACAGATGATTGAAAGCCAGAAAATGTTGGCATATCAGCTTGGCGGGGAAAGTGATACCTCAGGTCCTTGGAAAGTTGAGGACTTGGGCAAAAATAACAAAACAAGATCCAACCTAGAAACATGGAAGGTAGCAAAATTAACAAATATTACTAATATGCATTGGAGAGTGGGATAGACCACAAAATTAATAAAGACAGTAGTTTACAATTCCATGTGGTAATCCAAACGTTTAATATTGCTAGAAGCCCTACAAACGGAAGCTGGAAGAAGGCCGCGGCTTGGGAGGAATGTAACTACAAATACGGATTTATTTCCTTGCTCCCTCCTTTCCTTGTCAAGATTAAAAAAATCAAAGATGGTGAAGAGCCTAACAAACTCTGATTTACATACAGTGAGGAGGAACTAAGTCTGGGCCAAATGTGAACGTTTGAACTGGGGTGACAGGACCCAGACAACCACCTCAGGAAATAAGTAAATAAAAAGGGGAGGTCTCCGAATTATTTAGCCCTAGAACAACACTGCCTAGACCAGGGGAGGGACCGGGATGCATGAAGAAAAATCTCAAAAAAGGAATTTTGACAGAGAGAATGCTAGTTAGGACACAGCACTTGCAGCCCCCCTGACGTTCCTTGTTTGATGTCAAAAAAGGCCAAGAGGATTATGTATAAGCAAGCCTTGCATATTTTTGAGATATTACAATAAAGTCTAGAGTTTAGGCCGGTAGGGGGGGCCGGGGTCACTCCCAGGCGACTTGGGTCAGCGTGGGTGCTCCTCCACGGTGTACAGCTAGAATGAACCCTGGCTGAGAACTTGCCGCTTGGATCATTTTCTTTTTAAGTTGGGGACATTTGAGCAGCAGTAATGGGGACAGAGAAGGGGCTCTCTCCCAGAGAGCTACGAAGGTTAGGGCGGCCTGAGCAGGGATACTGGTGGGTGCAAGAGACTCAGGCGGGTGGGGTCCCGGGACCGGGGG